CAGTTTGGATTATATTTCTTTCATCGTGAAGTATGAATAAACATTTTAAATAGGTGTGGCACACTGTCAAGTGTTTTCATTATTTGGATGAGGTTTGAACATCTATTCCAAAGTATCAGTAGGCACCTGCAGAAGCAAAGTGGGTATGTAGCACCTGAACACATTCTGATTCATGCAATTAAAGCAGTTTACAGAGTGAGGAAGAAAAGAATATCACATACTGAGGTTTGATGTCTTTTTTCATGGAGAACAAAAGATGTTTGATTCTTTCACTTCAAGTTTAGCCTAACTATTGTGTAGTGGAGTAGGTTTAATGAATCATTGTTTAACTTTGATACTGCCAAGTATTTGACCATTAAATAGTCTGAAATGTGTACATAGCACTTTGGTGACAGACCCTTATTTAACTGTGATTAATTGGCATTGAATAGTTATTTAATTACTTTGGAAGAAATCTAACAACAGTGTGTGTTCTGATTGAGTTATTTGATCTAAAAACAAACACAGGACTGTTGAAGAGAGCACGTTCCCTTTTGCAGCTTGCTACTGATGCTGCACACCACATGCAAGCCTGAGAATGATTAAAACAGCAGATACTATTCACAAATTGGGATGCCATTGTAACATTGGCATACTTAGCTCTTGATTTCTTAAAAGACTTTTTTGTTAGTGGTTTCATGAAATTCCTTTGCCTTACAAGTTTTAGATTTAATATTGTCATCTTGTTTTTGAAGCCCAGACTGAAACTCACCAGGATAAGTAAAGGGTGCAAGTATTAAGTGAGCTTGAAAATTTTTGTAAATTGAAAATACTGGACTAGATCTAAGAATTACTGTCTCATGGCATGTATCTATATCACAGAAATGCTCACTTAAGGAATTTGGGGTTTTGGAAGTATGAAGTATTGTGGGAAGGTGATGTTGACAGTCTGTAAGTTTGGGAGAGAAAGATGTTAGAAGTTTTGGAGAGGAAAAATTTTTTTTTTTTCTTTGTGAGTTGTGCAGGTCCTGCCCTTCTTGAATAGCAGGTGCAACAGTTTCTTTAATCTGAAGAACCATCCCCAAAAGTTTGGTTTGCAAATGCTGGTAGAAACTGTAGTCGTAACTGTAAGCATTTTGAGTCCTGACTCAAAATGGCTACTTTAACTTTCATATCTAGAATGTTTTCTCTTGCATGCTTAATAATGCATAAGCAATCCACTGATTTACTATGCTTCCAGTAAGTGGAAACAGTTGTTTCTTCATACCTTGTGAAATAGACCTCATTTACTTGTAGACATCCTTGTAAATGTAGCAATCTCTCTGGATGCAATATCGTGATGGCTGTGGGGCATTTTGTGGGTATTTCCAAAGCATAGCACTTCTGCTTGGAGGTGCATTGCTCTCTCTGGCATATGGTGAGGGAACTTGCTTGCTTTAGTGGGTTACCGTAGCTTGCTTCTGCATAGGACGTGCTGAATAAAATGACAGTTCAGTTACATCCATATGAACAGGATTTCAAATACATCTCCAGGTCTGTGTTTTCTCTTATACAGTCACTGGGGTAATATCATTGAGAACCAGCAACAACAGAAATAGGGCTAAGGCTTGCGGCTTTGTCGCTTGCTTTTAGCAGTAAAAAAGCATTAATGCTCACATCCAGTGAGCATTAGGAGAGGGACATGTGGACCTCTTAGTGAGAAGTGAGGTATTTTCCTAGGCATAATGACTTCAGGTGTCATTTTCCAGAATTACTATGTGCAAACACGAAATAGACCATAAACAACTTTTTTTCAATAACTTGAAAATTTAAAAAAAAAAAATTCTGCTACCAGAGATTCACCTGAATGCTTATTTGGGAAGTGGCTGATTCACGTCCCCACAGTTTAAATTGCTTTAATTGTATCAGGTGGACTGTAAAAGGTTCTAGTTTTCAAGGTTTGTCTTCTTGATAAACCATTTCTTTTGCTCACTCATCTTTTAGTCCATGTCGTTTTACAGAATTACTGTATTTACATTTTAAAGAGGATTAGGCAGATTAAAAGATGTTTTCATGTTTTATTGATAATGTCAGATTAATTTCCACTTTCCTAGTGGCAGCTCGCAGCTCTGTCAAAACACAGTCTGTAGAAACACTGTTATACTTAACAATTTCATAGGGCAATTGCCAAAAATGCAGTTTTGGCAATTAATTAGCAGCTTGATTACCAATGGGAACTGGAGTAGATGGTGGTTAGTGGATATATGGAAGAGATAGTAAGACCAGAGGACTACCGAGGCCAGCTCAAGTGAGCCAAGTTTTCCTTCGTGACCGTGTTCCTTAAAGAACTTCACTGGAAGAGATGTTACTGTGGAGAGCATTGTCACAGTGGCTCTTGATGTGCAGGATGAAGGCAAGTATTCTGCAGCTCTCATTTATATCTCTGCCGGCTTATTACCCCCAAGAGCCAGAACAGATCTGTATCGTGCTTGCAGCCTAAAGCTTTCCTTGTCACAACACTGAAACTTTCTCAGAAAATGGCTGGAGATTGTCACAGCCTCCAAACAATTGCTGAAAAAACCCAAAACCCACACTCAAAATCTGCAATATTTCTTCTTGAGCAACTTTAATGGGTCATTCTTCAATAGAAATGAGGACTGAGCTCCGAGATGCTGTTGGAACTGAAACTAAAATTGCTTTGACAGCGAGCATTTTGTAATGGCTTCTCTCCTCTAGCCTTTAAGGCTTTGTCCTTGCCATAGACATTGAGAGTAAGCAGAGTGCTTTTCCAGGAAGAAGTTTGGATGTTCCACCTGTGGGATGAGGGAGATGATGAAGGCATCACTTGATTCCTGGAGGTGCCGGCATTGACCTGACCTGCGCTATGGCCATGGAAAGTAGCCAGCCTGAGTGACCTTGCTGCCTCCCGGCAGTGTCGCATGGGATGGCCTTTGCACAATTGCTTCTTATATCAGTCTGAAACCACTACAAATAAAACTTATTTTGGGTTAAAAGGCAAAGGGGTATTCTAAGGCTGAATTAAGGTGGGGTTTGCTCGCTATGGGAATAATCCTTTGCCTTTGCGTACAGCTTGTCATTGGTGGGTCTCGCAGCATTTCAGGGAGGGGCTCGGCACTGTCACCTCTCCTTGCTCTGCTCTTCACTCTGTAAAACAAAGTGAAGTCACTCAGCAGGCAAGTTACAAAGCTGGGAACAGTTTGCTAATGCCCCAAGCCCGATCCATTATACCATCTTGTTTCCCTCATCTGCCCCTCCTGGACAGGCCACTAAGGAAAGCTGTCAGAAGGAAGCATTTAACCTCTTCGAATTATTTTCTTTTTGCCAGTGAAGTCTTGGTTCATTTGAAAGTAACTGGGAATGTGATATTTAGTGATATTGAGAAGTCTTAGCTACAACATGCATGCAGTATCTGCTAGATCACTCTTCCATGACCAGTCTCCGTGTAAGCAAGTCACGGGGAAAAGAAACTTGAAAAAAAATTGCCTTGGAGTTCTTTCTGATGTATCTACCCCAACATGAAATAAGTGCAAGGGAACATCCCCAGCTGCCATTCCCAGTAGAGACAGATGAAAGAGATTTAATGGAATCTTGCGCTGCTATATACCCTTCTTCTCTGCATGCAAATCCTAAAAATGGGATGAATTCTACTGTTGTCTGCTTTGAGTTGCCTTAAGAAATTGAAAAAAAAAAGAATAAGAATATTCTATTTCTAAGAACAGAAAAAAGTCAGTTGCCTTTGGTAGTAAAGTACTGCAGAACAAGATGTTTGCCACCAGTATCTCTCTTTCGAGTCGTGCCCCAGGCCTGAGGAGAGGATGTTTTGTGTATCGCCTGGTGTGGAACAGAAATTCCCTTAAAAAAAGAAATCAGTGTTATGCAACAAAATTCATAGTTCTGAGACAGCCGTGAACAGAAAACTTTAATGATGGTTGCTACAGAAGTTACTTCAGTGTCTCTTATCTCTGAATTACGTCTCCAACGCACTCCATGGAAACTTTAAACTTAACTACTTTCAGTTTAATGAGCTCCTTTGAAAAGAGAAAAAAAAAAAAAGTCTTTTGTTGCCAATGGAGTGAATGTGTTTGTACCAGTTAGAAGTAATAATTGAATCAAGATATATGTAGATAAAAAAGCAATGTGAATGCATGTATGGGCATTACACACCTTAGAAAAGGCCAGATTCCCATCCTTAGCTTAGTTTCTTTCCTGGTGAGTAGAGATATTGATTAATAGAGAAAGATATACTAATCCACTTACAGGTGGCAGCGTTGTGACTTCAATTATTAAAGAACTCTTGCTGTAACTGATTTTTTCACTCAAGTAGAACTTGGGAAAATAGAGAAGTGTAAATGCTTCACTGACAGCAGATTAAAAATTGTTTTATTAGCTTTAATAAAGATCAGTATTGTCAAGGTTTGAATAAGTATAAATGTAAGGCTGCATGAACGCAAATCTATCTCAAATTTTATTTCAGAAACGCCTGCAATTTGAATCCATGTATAATGGTGGAGGGGTGGGAACGGAAATACTCAAAAGGATCCGTTAGATCAACTATGATCTATCTGGGGCATGCATGCACTTGTGAGTTTCAGTCAAGGATAGGAGCAGATTCTGGCTGATGTTACTTGATGAAACTTGTGTTGTCTGAACTGTAAACCTTTACCTGCACACATTGAGCATATAAAGCATGTGTGTTTCACCTGTTAAATTCTGTTGAACTATTATCTTCAAAGCCCATTTTAATTTTTTCCTAGCAGTTTAAGTAAAGGTTTTATATTCAGGTGAAAGAAATTTGTAGAAGCATATTCTTCTTCAAAATATAATGCTGTGGTTGTAAAAGATTCCCTTCACGGTGGTTTCAAAAAGTATCTTTTTATCTTCAGATTCCAGCTGTTTCCTTTTTACTGTTACTAAAATGGTAAAATACAGTGTGTTTTAAGATATTTTTGATCTTTTAAGGAATTACATTTACTTTCTTTTTCTTCTTACATCTACTTTCTTCTCCAATCCTGTTTCTGTAGGAAGAATCTTAAATCGTTTCTCCAAAGATATTGGCCACCTGGATGACTTGCTTCCATTGACATTTTTGGACTTCATGCAGGTAATTCAGTTGCTACTGTCAAAACCTTCTGCGCTGCATTCTGAATTTAGATTCCTGTATGCTTTGGTGAAGATCAGCTATTTGTCACAGATGTAGCTGAGTTGAATGAAAGTGCTTGTTTGTGAAAGAAAGGTGCGGTTGAAATTTAATGTGTCAGTAAAAAGCTAACATGAGTAATAACTGGCAGGTAGGAGTGGCTATACACAGCTTGCTATTATGTCAAGATTTCAGTAGCTACATGCTTGGTAAATTACTCCTGATTTGCCTCCAAGCAATCTGGCAAGCTTATTGCTGTTATAAGAAATATGTCCATAGTAAAGAAACAATCAACTCACATGAAAAGATAGCACAGATTAACCTAATTACGTGTCTACTTCCACAAAGAATCAAATGCTTACCACACCATTTTGGATTAAAATAGGTGTGGCTATTTACAAAGAAAAGATTAGTAGTAATAGGGTGAATATAATAGCCTTAATAGGAACAAGTGAAATAAGTTGCTGCAGACAAGAAAGATGGACAAAGCACTGAGATTATGATGATGATGAAAGGATAAAGGATTGTATATGACATCAAGGTAATTTTTCTGTTGCAGCTGCTATTAATCCTCCTTGTAAAAAATTGCAGAAGGATAAAGCTGCAAAAAAATTGATCGTACTGCATCAAAATAACATGAATCACAGAATACACAGAATCATGGAAGCTAGAGAAAGAAATGTCTTAGTGGATCATCTGGATCCACTTAGTGGATCAGACCTGTCATGCTCAAGTCAGAAATGTTTCTTAAGGTGCTATTGCTAACTTTGCTTCGTCTCTTAGAGATAGCTCATTCAGAATCTAAACCTTGTTTTGAATTCTTTGAAAATAAACAAAAGACATTTCGGGTTGAGCAGTTTAATCATGTTGTGAATGCTAAACTCCTGAAAATGGGGTGGGGGGGGGGGGGGAATAATCCAAGGAGTTAGTAAAAACACTTCTTAAGATAAAGTCTTTTTCCTAGTTTAGTGAAGTTGTGAAAGTTGAGGTGTGTGTTTGTTTTTTCAAAGCATTACAGTGCTACATGTCATTCTGGGGAAGAAAGGAAGGTGATGTATTTTACCTGTCAATTAAAGCAATTGGATTTATTTGTGAGTTAAGGAGTTGCTTATGGTGAGCATTAAGGTTTTGAATTCATGGGCTTTTAAGGCCCTTACAAACCCTTTCCTGAAAGTGCAATATAAACATCTTTCTATAATATACTACTCGTTTCCTACTGTTTATACAGATTCCAAATTTTCTTCAGTCTCATTAACTGTCTTATTAGACAGAATATCTTACTTTATTTCAGCTCTCTTGGGACAATACATTTGTGCCTTTCTTTTTGGCTGGAAGCTTGGGCTGTCCTGCAATCCTTATCCTCTTCTCTTAGCATAGGATTTACATCCAGAAAGTCGAAACCATCTCTTCCGTGTAGTGCTCCTTGGCCATTTGACCAAGCAATGCAGAGGGGTTTGTATTTGCATATGTTTGTCCCCTTTACAGCAGACCGCACTGTGTATGTTCATGCTACATACTACTCATGGCCAGAGCATCCTTTGGGTTCTGTGGTCTTGAGATAAAATGATTAACCCTTTTCCTTAGTTCCCTGTATTTCAAATAATGTGAGAGTTGTGTTGCAGCCCACTTGCATGGTGTTTTTATAGCAAGAAACTGTGTGGGTGTTTTGCATGCCCTGGCATGTGGTTTAAAGGCATGTGGGGTTGTCTGAGGATGCAAAATTTGCTGGGAAAATGTTAGAGAAGTCTGCGTAAGCAGAGGGAGACAAGATTGGTGTGGTCTTGTCCATACTTCCTTTTGGGAGCAGACCCTGAAGCAAACTGTCTTGAGAATTACACTCTCTTTTATTCTGAGGGAACCAATTGGTTTCCAAAAGAAAGCTAAGGAAGTAGGTAACCTGTATGCTTGGCACACACAGAGGATCGAATCACCTACTAGCTAATTGGAGAACCTAGTTATTTGACCAGCGTATAGATACTTTAGGCAGTATATGCTTACCAAAACTTAACTGGTCTATGATGAAGGAATGAAGGCTGTTGCTCTAGATGTGATTGTTTTCTTTTTTCATGCTCCTAGTGTAAACCTCATTTTGTAAACATTTCCTTTCATGTTGATTACTTCATGCATTTCTTTTAAATTGGCTGTTGAATAATTTGTCAAATTCTGAAGTTTGTATTTTAAGTGAAAAGTTTTCCTTTTCAAAAAAATAAAGTAGATGTTACATGTCCAGTACACTATTAAAATTATACTATGTTTCAAAGCTTGCCTGTTCTGTTTGGCATAGGAAAAAGAAAATTTAGGAGCTTACTGTTGGTTAATAATGCGCTGCTATCCATAAGACAAAAGCACTTCCTTCTTGGCAGGTTTTCTAAAACTTACTATTCTTGATCGGCGGGCTCGTTGGCCTTTTGAAATTCAATAGCAAAGAGATGATATTTATTTCTGAAGAAGCACAGATTTTTACAAAGGATAAGTGTTATCAATTATGATAGAGATCTTTTGTCGCTTGTTTTGTTTGCAGGTGTCTTTTATAAGACTTTCTATAATCCCTTCAGGAAGAAATATTTCTCCTTTCTAAAAACAGTATTAGCTAAATATAAAAGCTCTGATCCCAGCCATTGTTGTTGATTCTTTGAGAGACATTTCCCAACATTCATTGTTTAAATGGTTGTCAGGAGGAATCAAGTGAAACTTAATAAACAATGCAGTAACTGGTTCATCTTACTTTGTGTGTAGAAGCTTTTCTTGAGCGGATTTGTATTGAAGAAGTGGTCCTTTTCCTGAGTTATTGCTAGGATCACTGTGAAGCATTCCACCCTTTTACTATATTGGCAAGTGAGTGTATAATTTCTGCACAAATAAAACCAATGTGATTGGACACCCAAAAAGTACAGTATGAGGCCATTTAAATACCTATAAATAAATAAATAATATCTCCTAGTTTTGAGAATCTGCGTACAGATTTTAAGGCAATGCTAAAAATTTATAATGTTCTTTTTAGAGTCCCTAATAAGATTTATACACTGCACTACAGTCATAATGAGCATGATTAGTCTAGACAGCTATACCGGATGAAAATTAATTCCTTGAACTAAGAGAGTTGATTTTTTACATCTTCCATTGAGTCATTGACGAAGAAACAGTTCTCTTAAAGACAGTGGATAGTTACTGTACACTTATCTGTTAAAGCAAAAATAAAAGGTATGTGGGAAGCACAAAAATGCATTATAGACCTTGTGTATTCTTCTGAAAACCTGGCTAGGTTTTGCAAAACTGTTCCTTTGCAATAGTTCCCAAAGTAGCAACTCTCACTGTGTTTAATGTTTTGCGCCATCCTTCCTTTCTTTGGTTTTAAGTGCACCAAAATATAGCACACCTGTCTTTGGAGAGATTGGGGGCAGGAGGGGCAGTCCTCACTAGGAGGAGGCAGTCATTTTTTCTTTTTAACTTATGAAACTTAACAGCGTGCGAGACATGTCATGCTAGTGCAGTTGACTATCTTTTTGTAGAAATTACTGCTGTATCCACAAGATTTATAAATAAAAAGTAAGTCTCTCTTGTGAGAACATGTTTATGACTATGTTTGAACTACATGGCTGTTGAACAGAACTATGTGGGTAGATGTGAAGTATAGAAACTGGAAAGAAACCAAAGGCTAAGTTAGGCACTTCAACTGAGATATCTTTAATTGTGCATTTATAGTCCAGTTAGAAGCTCATTAAAGTAAAAAATAAACTTTACAGTCCGCAGTCTAAGCCTGGGCCTTATCTTCTGTAATGGATTCTGGCTGTCCCTAAGGTTCCACACCAGCTCTCCTGAAAAATAAAATAAAAAGCAAATCTGTGTTCACTATGACACTTGTTATTTCTACTAAATACAGCACTAAATAGGTTTGTAAAATCGGTTAGTAATTAATGTTTGTTGGTTAATTCAGATAGTCAAAAAGCTGAATGAATTTGTTTAGTGAAGGTGGTGGTTTTGGGGTTTTGTTTTTGTGAGCTCCCATATTTTTAATCACGTGAGTTAGTACCGTTAGCCTCCTTAGCCTCAGTTCTGCATCTGCCTTTCTTTTTCCTAGCCTGAGTTACATATTTTTTTGGCAGGTGTTTTCCAACTAAGTTACAATCTCCTCAGGTAAGGGACTACTTGCGTGAAGGCCATTATAGTGCTTTAAAATGTTCTAAAGGGATTTAAACATCTCCTTTATTTAGATATACATGCTTTATTTCTGTATTTGTTAGTTTAGTCAGAGGGCAGGCCTGACAGCAGCCTCAAAGAGCTACCCAAATGCAAATAATTGCAGAAATGCTTTCTTTAGTTGGTATGAACTTGATCATCCTATAAATAAGTCCAAAGGGACTTAAGGAAGTCAGGTGCCATTTAAGATGACTGGGATTTTGTTACTTAATTTTCTTAGGCTCCTCTGAAAATACTGGCTGATTTACTCAGTGTTGTAACCAAGTGTTGTTCCTCCTCCTGCCTTAAGTTCTGTGGGAGTGCAAGGTTCTGTTGATGTGGTCTTCACTGGTAGGTGTGGGGCTTGTAGTTTACAATGTCGTGGTTAAAATGCATAGCAATGTCTAGCTCAATGCAGTGCTAATAAAACACACTGTACTAAATTGGGAAGAGGTCAGCCAAGGAACAGAATAAAAGAATGTGATGGGGAAATATTAGGAATTAAGAATCCAATATATATAATAGTATTTTATGCACATTAGCCCAGATATTCCAGCATTTTGGATGCTGTATTTTTGAGAGCTCATCAAAGGCTTGTTTTTAGTACCTGAATCTCACTTTGACTTGAGATACATCTGCAGAGGCTTAACATCTTTAAACTGTGGTCTTAGGTGATGCAGGGTGCATACCCTACTGGTTGAAAATTGTATCTATAAACTGATTGAATACATAGGATGGTGAAATATGTTTCAAGCTTTTGTTTGTTTGTTTGTTTTTTTAATTATCAC